CCCACATGAGGGCCAGTGACACTGCCCTCTGCAGCTAAGATGGTGAACAACAGCTCGACCTGGAGCTGGGCTGCCGTGAGTCCCTGGCGACGGCGTAGGCTGCAGCCCCTGCTGCAGTAGGCTGCCATAGCTACCATGTGTGGCTGGCAGCCAGCATGAGTGGCTGGCAGCCAGTGTGAGCTGCCAAGAGCCACCGTGAGCGGACATCAAGAGGCCGGCGACCTATCTGCCTCACCCGGGAAGAGCACAACGATAATACCAACATGGGCCAGTGAAGCAACATCCTCCACAACTAGACTGAAGAACAAAAGGGCAGCAACTTGTCTGTTCCCCTTCCCTGATTCCCCAGCACTGTTCCCCTCCCCCAATTCCCCAATAAAATCTTAAAAAAAAAAAAGTCAACTGCTATATACCAGCAATGAACAATAGGAATTTGAAATTAAAAACTCAACACCATTACATTAGTACCCCACCCCCCAAAATAAACCTAGGTAAAAATCTAACAAAATATGCTCCTCTACATGAGGAAAACTACAAAATTCTGATGAAAGAAATCTAGGAAGATCTCAATAGATGGAGTGATAGATAGTTCATGTTCATGAATAGGAAGAGTCAATATTGTTAAGATGTCAGTTCCTCCCAACTTGATCTACAGATTCAGTGCAACCTCAGTCAAAGTCCCAGCAAATTCTCTTGTGGAAACAGACCAACCAATTCTGAAGTTTATATGAAAAGGCAAAAAAAAATCCAGAATAGCCAACACAATATTGAAGAACAACAAAGTCAGAGGACTTATACAACTGAGCTTGTAGTCTTACTATAAAAATCTATAGTAATTAAGAAAATGTGGTATTGCCAAAAGAACAGGCAAAGAGATCAGTAGAATAGAATAGAGCCCAGAAATATGAGAATCCTTTGCACTTGCTGCACAATTTTTTTCTGTAGATCTAACACTGCTCTAAAAAAAAAAATCTATTAATTTAAAAAAACACAAAACTTCCCTGTTACTTCCAAAACCCTTTTCCTTGGAATCCATTACTTAAATAACCTGGTTTGTCATCTTATCTCAGCCACTTTCTTTCAGGGTCCTGTCCTAGCCAAGTCCTCTGTAATTTCAATTTCCAAGTCCTCTGTAATTTCAATTTCATGCTCCCACTCTCTCTGAAAACCTCTTAATTTTCAACTTACTCCATCAAGTACGTAGATATTAATATCCTCTGACCCCCATTGGGGCCTCCAATCAACTGATCCTACCACTATTTCATTGTCCCTCAGCCCTTGATGTCTCCACTCCCTTCCTTACATAGCTTAACTTCCATGGTTAATCATTACAGTTCATCCCTTGAATATACTTTCAGTTGTCTTACCCTTGTCTCACTTAGTTCTATTCAGTTGGCAAAATTATAGTCCTGGTTAAATCCAAACCTCTGCACTCACACCCATGCAACTAAACATGGCTTGGCGACACACACACACACACACACACACACACACACACACACACACACAGCCCTATACTGACTGCTCGCATTTTAATCTCATGAACACGAATCTTAATGCTGTCCAACAATTATAAACATGTCTTTTCATGCACAAGTCTTTGTGTAGACATAATATTTTCATCTCTCTTGGGCAAATACCTTCAAGTGGAAAGACTGGTCATATGGTAGGTGCAAATTTAAATTTATAAGAAATCACAAAACTGCTTTCTAAAATGGCCCTACCATTTCATATTCTCATTAGCAATGTATGAGAGTTCCAGCCACTGAACTTGTCACCCCTTGGGTGGTTAGTCTTTTTAATGTTTACCATTTAATGGGTGTGTAGAATTACTCATTGTAGTTTTAATTTGCAGGATATGAAGAAAAAAAGTTATCTGTTAGGTAAAACAAAATGTAAGGCAGTCACCACGTAGGGCACAGGAGGGAGGGGAGTGTGTTTTAAAGATCACAGAGACATGTTTAAATGATGATGGAAGCGGGTAAGAAAAGAAAGGGTAAGTAAGCGAAACAGGGCATATAGTGGGAAGAACAGGCTTTAGGATGGAAAAGTGAAGATAAAATACTGTTAGTTTAGAAAAATGTTGAGCTTAAAGTAAAAAAATTCTATGTAAGTCGAGATATCCAATAGAAAATTCTGCAAAGAGAAGAGGCTGAAAATATAACATTTTGAAGCTTATAAGCAGCAAGTTGAAGCAGTCTATATCTATATACTGAAAACTGTTCTATGAACACTTCACTTACCTGATCCAGGTTGGAAAGGCTGTTTGGATCTTGACTGAGAGTTTGGTACTGACCCCGGAGCCTGTCGCCTGCTGCGATTCTCCTGAACTTCTTGAGATCCACCACGTATAAGGCGCTGCAAAAGGTGAATACTGCTTGATAGTCTATGTTATTTATATATTTTTACTTTCTCCCAGCGATTGTCTACAGTAATGGTATTAACTTCAGATATCCTTGGATTTAATAAAAACGAATCCTTTCATAAATTTCCTCCCAATGCCTAATACTGTTTCCAAGGGGTTTGACGTTTGCTGTAATACTGTTAGGATCCATATCCTCTTAGGGTCACCTTAAGTTTTTCCAAGATCACATGAAACTAAATGGCCCTACAAAACAGTAACAGCTTTGAAGACAGTATCTTTATTTTGCTATTTGCCAAACCAAATTTAAATCTTCTGTAGTTTTTAGGAGCATATTACCTGAGCCGTATTACTTAGCTTTAACTCCTGGCTCAGCTAAATACTAAGAGCATAAGCCTGGTCATGTTACGTAAATACTGTATGCCTCAGTTTCCACATCTGTAAAACTGGGATAATAACAGTATCTCAAAAAGTTGTTACAGAGACTTTATGAGTTCATACATGTAAAATCTTATAAGAGTGTAATAGCATTATGTAATCGGTTGCCATTATTATATAATTTCTAAAAGAGCAGAGTATGTGATTCAATAAGTTGCTTATTTACTAAAAGGTAAGAGTATGCATTCTCTTACCTGATATGGTATTTCCTTTTTAAAAGATGCGATGCCCAATACCCTGTCTTCCAGAAGCGATAGCCATCCATTTCAGTGCGGCTATCACAGAACGGAGTATATCCATAAGGAGCGCCACCCAGATCGAAATCTCGAAGGTCTTTCAGATCATGTCTCACAACCTGAATATTAAAATAGTTTCTCTGATGAAGATTGTAAAACAATATAAGCCCTTTGTATGTGAATCTCAAATCATCATTACCTTACTGTAGAAATACAGAGCATTGCATTCTCCTTACAGTTCTTCCATGTAATGCGAGTTTACTAAGTTTCTNACATCATGACTTTCCCGATGACCCAATACATGACCATTCTGACAAAGAACATAGCAGACTATGTTAATATTTTCTTTTGATTAAAAATCTGGTTTTACATACTTTCGATTTCCCACAGACAAAACCATTTGTCAGCCTTTAGAAATGTCTTGAGCTTCCTCAACAAAACCATTCATTTCCCTTCATATGACTGTTCTAAAGCAACTGTGATTATATTAAAAATCAGTTAGCTGGGACTTATTTGTCAAAATACTGATAGTTGTGAAATTCAGAGTAGTCCATAAATCTCATGCCTTAAAAGTATTTAACCATCCTGCTTAATCGGCACAGTGGGGAAGAAATCGATGTGCACCCTCAGCCCTCAAGGTTCTAGCGCCACACCTGTTAGTAGAGGAAGGCCTGCCATGTCACCTGACTCGTGTGTGTGTTTGTGTGTGTGAGAAATCCTAGTTTCTTCATCCACAAAGGAGGAAATTCAAGCAGTATCATTTCCAAGTTCCACTAATATATGTCAATTTAAACCACTTAGTGATTGGTCCTGGTTTCTTGGGAGAGATTACAGGGTTAAAAAGATTGAAAGGTTAGAAAGTACAGAAGGTTGAGCAGGATCTGATTCTGGATGTATCTGAAGGTATGTCTGGCAAGAGCTGCTGATGGGGTGACTGTGAGTTGCGAGCAGAGACAGGCATCAAAGATGACCCCCGTGTCCTTGGCGTGAGCAAAGGAAAGAATGGAGAGGCCACTGACTGATCCGGGAAAGCCCATGGGAGGAGCACAGACGTCGACAGGTTACACAGGCATCCCCTTCCTCACTACAAAGCGTTACCAGAAAACGCGTCCTGAAGCTCTCACTTCTACAGGGCATTTTCCTGTGGCGGCTGCCACTCTCTCCCGCCAAAGCCTCATGGGAAAGCTATTAGTTATGCGCCATGAGCCTGTTGTCTTAATCCTTCCTAACCAAATAGTTTCAGTCCATGCCATTGTGGATATATTTTTTTCTACAGAAATAAATTCCTGAACTACGTGGAAAACAAGATTTTCTTTGCAGAAATTAACTTTATAGGCAATATGTCCTATAAAGTGAAGATAATGGAACTATTTTCTCTTTTCGTGTCAGAAGCTATTAAAATAAAAATACTATGTTTTCCTTAGTCTTTTGTGCTATATATTTTTTTCTTTTCTACACCCTATATCCGCAGTGCGTAATGAGGCTATCATGCCCCTCAGGGGAGCTTTGGCAAGGTCTGCAGACTTTTTCGGTTGTCATGACTGGGAGGTGGTGGGGTGCTACTGCCATCTAGTGGGTAGAGGCCAGGGATGCCGCTAAACATCCCACAATGAGTAGGACAGCTGCACAACACAGCATTATGGGGTCCAGTATACACCTGAAGCTGAATAATAATGTCAACTATAACTTAATATAATATATATATATATATATATATATATATATATATATATATATATATATAGTCACCGGATGTGGAGTACAGCATAAGGAATAAGTAACAGCTGTATACAATGTCAGAGGGGCAATAGATTGGGGGAGGGAGGTTATCACTTTGTGAGGGGTGAAATGTCTAACTATTACATTGTATTGTACACCTGAAACTAATAAAAAATTAAAACAAAGAATTATGTGGTCCAAAACGTCAATAATGCCCAAATCGAGAAATCCTGATTGAAATAGTCTCACCTTCAATACCATCATTTGTGCTTTTTCCTTTCCCTTAGGCCATTTCCTTGGAATTTTTCTGCATTTTTCTTAACTAACTTTTTTCCCAAGAAACTGGCCCAAAATAGCATAGTCTCTCATTTTTATTTTAAGTGTTTCTGTGAAAGAGATGGTTAGGCTGTCCACCTGCCCTTTTTCTATTCAGACCTATTGCTAGGAAGTAGCTGCC